GACCTCTTTGCAAAGCGTGGACCCGAGAGAGGCGGGGTGTGCGTGAGTGCAGGCGGGCCCCGCCCCCGGGCGCCCCCAGCCGTCGCTGCGCCCGAAACCCTCCTCCTCCTCTCTTTAACTGTGAACCGTGGGTCTGTCTGCCCCACATCCGAAAGGGAGCGGGGGCTGCGTCCGTGCTGGTCCCCGGGAACGAGGCGCCCAGCAGGTGCCTTACCGGATGAGTGCATGGACCCAGAGCTGCGCCCCCCAGCGCCCCCACCCCCGGACCCCCCCCCGCCCGCGCCTCCGATGACGTCATGCACCCCACCCCACCCCACCTGGCTCAGCCGTGGAGGCTGGCTCCCGCATCCACCCGTCCCGCACGCCGCAATTAACTATGTCACCGTTTATATTTTTCTCTTCTGCAGGTGCTCGGGATTCGTCCGCCCTGTTCCCCACTGTATCCCCGGGTCTCTCCTACGGTGGGTTCTCATCACCCCAACGCAGCTTGGCCTACAGCCCCAGGTTTTAGAGAAACTGAGGCTGGGTGGAGCAGGGACAGCCACCTCCCAGGTCAGCCTTGTAACAGGGACTTACAAGCTGCTTTCTCTGGAAACCACTGACCTACCCACTGAGGTGACTAGGAGCCAGAGAAAGCCTTAGTGTCCCAGCCTCCATTGTAGCTGTGTCCTTTGCTCCGAACCATGCTCTTCCGCAGTCTCTTCCCGGTCACCTTGAGATCCAGGAAGGACGAGACTGATGGGTAAATAACCTGAGACAGGTGTGGAAACCAGCCCATGCCCGACAACAAGGACTTTCTCATCCAACAAGGCCCAGCTGACCGATCCTGAGAACAAGCAACTTGCCCCACTCTGACCACTTCTGTCCACACCTGTGACTCGGACTGTCTAATAATTGTGCACACCTCTCTCTCCCCGCCCCAAATCTTCCTGTGTTTAAGCCTAGGGCATGCCAGACACTGGTGGCTCACACCTGTAATCCTAGCCTCTCAGGAGGCAGAGGTCTGAAGCCAGCCTGGGCAGGAAAGTCCGTGAGACTTTTGTCTCCAATTAACCAGAAAACACTGGAAGTGGAGATGTGGCTCAAGTGGTAGAGCCTGCGCAAGATAATATAATAATAAGCCAGTCCTGTCCCTCCAGCACTAAGATTCTATCATACTAATTAATAAATACCCAGTAAGAGTGGTGTTAAGGAGTCTGAGTTTCGGGATAGGTGAGAGTCCTGACAGCCCACTCAGTGTGACCGTGGAAAAATGGCTTCACCTCTCCGAGCTTATTTCTTCATGTGAAAAAAAATGGAAATAAACACAGTACCCAAGTCTGAGGATTATCATCAGAATGAAATGAGATGATACACAGGCCTCTTCTAGAAGCAAGAACCTTTGAATGGTAGGGTTTACCCATAGTCTCTTCTTTATACCACATTGCTCTCATAGAAACATTCCCTGCCTGTCTGTATTTGTGTCTTCTTGTGTTAGTGATGAGACCAGACTTGAAAGTCAGTCTAGGTTTCACAGGTCAGGCTTTTGCAAACCCAGGGCTGCTTGGATCAGGTCTTGTTTCCCCACCCAGAGCCTGTGCTGGCTCTCTCCTGCCCCCTGGAGGCGGCTTGGACCACAACACTGTTAGCTCTGTTTTTTGAGCAAAGGGAGACAAATTCAGAGGATCTGAGTGGAGGAACCTGATATAAGTGTGTGTGTGTGTGTGTGTGTGTCCTGGGACACGAACTCAGGGCCTGAGCACCACTGTCCCTGACCTTTTATGCTCAGGGCTGACACTCTACCACTTGAGCCACAGCTCCACTTCAAGCTTTTTGCTAGTTAATGGGAGTCTCTCAGATTTGTTTGTCTGGGCTGGCTTCAAACCATGATCCTCAAATCTCAGCCTCTGGAGTAGCTAGAATTACAAGTGTGTGCTACTGGCACCTTATTTGTAATCTACGTCAGTGTTTTGGATGGCTTGAGTCTGTATCTGTTAATTGATTAGCTTTCCCATCCTTCTTCCCCTTCTTCCTCTGGCCCTTCTCATACACTATAAAACATCTGAGAACTGAAGCGGTAATGCACAGTAGTGGTAGTAGCTCAGTACTCAGCACCCCCAAGGCCCCGGGTTCAAGCCCCACCTCCACCACATTAGGAAATCACAAGAATTTTTCTCATATCAGACCCAATAGTACCATTTTCCCCTCAAGGAAGGAGTGAAGATCTGAAGTTAGCTCATGTGTCCACACATTCCCCTTATCTGTATATGAAGATTTCTGAGAGTTGACAATAACACAGTGCACAGTCTCTGTCCTGAAACATCTCATAATCCACAGGAAATCAATAAGCAAGGGCACCACTGAACCATGGCTGTAGATTCTTGGAAAATCCTGACATGGAGAGGAGGGGGTATCTGTCTGTTTGTTTTTTCTTAACTGTATTTTTTTGTCTTTTCTTTTTTGGTAGTGGGAATCGAACCCAGGACATTGCACTTGACAGGCAAGTGCTTTGCCACTGAGTTATATCCCAGACCAAGAAAAGGGAGGTCCTTGTTTCCTCCCCTTGAACCAAGGAATGCTTGCAAGTGATTGGTTGATTAATAGATCCATGTCAGCTTTTAGTTAGGTGCTTATGGCTCACTCCTGTAATCCTAAGGAGGCTGAGATATAAGGATTGAGATTCAAAAGCAGTCTGGGTATAAAAGTCTGAGATTCTATCTCCTATTAATCAGAAATATGCCAGGTTGGCATAGTAGCTCAAGTAGTCAAACAGCAGCCTAAAGCAAGCAAGCTGAGAGAGAGTACAAGACCCTGAGTTCAAGCCATTATACCATCACGCATATACACACATCAACTTTTACTTTCCAGTTTTTGGAACACTTTCAAGTTTGAGCTGTTGAGAAATAATTCTTGAGCCAGATGCCTATGGCTCATGCTTGTAATCCTAGCTATTCAGGAGGCTGAGATTAAGGATCACCAGTCTGGGTAAGAAAGGCTGTAAGACTCTCCCATAAACCAGCAAAGAGCAGGATATGGAGCTGTGGCTTAATCAGTAGAGCACTAGACTTGAGCAAAGAATCTAAGGAAGCCGAGCGCTGGTGGCTCACGCCTGTAATCCTAGCTACTCAGGAGTCTGAGATCTGAGGATAGCAGTTCAAAGCCAGCCCGGGCAGGAGCGACTGTGAGACTCCTATCTCCAATAAACCACCAGAAAACCGGAAGTGGCACTGTAGCTCAAGTGGTAGAGCACTCGCCTGCCTTGAGCTGAAGAGCTGAGGGACAGCGCCCAGGCCCAGAGTTCAAGCCCCACGACTGACCAAAAAAAAAAAAAAAAGAATCTAAGGAACAGTGTACAGGCCCACTGTCGCGCACGTCATGCATACACACACACACACACACTATATATATATATATACACACACACATATATGTATATATACATACATACATATATATGTGTATGTATATATATATATGTATATGTGTGTGTGTGTGTATATATATATATGTATATATATATATATATATATATATATATATATGTTGGAGGAAAGGGAGTAAACCAGAAGGGCAGAGAGCAAGGAACCTGGCTCTCTTGGGTCTCTCCTCAGAAAGAGCTGGGCTGGGGGAAGCCACCTTCCTTCTGGTTCTGAGCCTAACTTCATCTTCTTTTTGCCTCATCTGGAAAATTCCAAGCTGGAACTCTTAGTTTGACCTGGAGATGGCTCCATGGCCCCCTCAGGCACCAAGAAGACAACACATCTCCCCAGGAATGCATTCTACAAGCCAAACCTCAGAATTCCTGCAGACAAATAAGAACAAATAAGAACTCAAAATCAAAAATACTGGGCATGTAGCTCAGTGGTCAAATGCTTACCTAACACGTGTGAGGCCCTGGGTTTGGTCCCAAGCAATGCAACAAACAAACACACCCCAGCATTAGGCCCCATGGCAGAGATTAGGAGGATTTAATGTGCCAGGCCAACAAATAAGTTAGGCATGCTGGTGCTTGTCTGCAATGCCAACTTAAAGGAGGCACACATAGGAGTATCTCAGTCCTGGACAAACATTTGAGAACCTATCTGAAAAATAGCACCTGCTTAGTAACCACAAGGTCCTGAGTTCAAACTGTAGCACTGTCCCAAAACAATAAATAGGAAAGGATGACATTGTCCAAAAAAAAAAAATACTCAGAGCTGGGCACTGGTGGCTCATACCTGTAATCCTAGCTACTCAGGAGGCTGAGATCTGAGGATCTCAGTTCAAAGTCCATAAGACTCTTATCTCCAATGAACCACCAGAAAACGGGAAGTGACACTGTGGCTCAGGTGGTAACATGCTCACCTTGAGCTGAAGAGCTCAGGG